TCCCCTATTTGTGGCCAAGGCCACATCATTGGTTCGCGTCGCTAGCAAACACGTTTCTCAATCACCTTCACCCGAAAACCCCGATTTCCCAGTGTCCCCTAGGAGGAAAATAGTCTATTATCGGCATATTGTATTTAGTAGTCGTATCCAATTACTTAAGGTTACATATCTGGCGCATCAGAGGCAAAACAGCGTCGCCATTTTGCGTCGTGGCAGTTGACGTAGCGTGCTGACGATAGGGTGGTTTCTTTATTATATTTCGGTAAATGTTGCGAATCAAAGTGTTTTGAAGCTGTTTTTATGTAATTGACCAAGGAGAAACAGTGAAGCATCATCAAAATTGTGCTACCTCAATGTAAAAAACTGAAGTATCGCCGTATCCGATGCTGTTTACCGCTTGTCGCTATCTTGCTTCGTTCTCGAGATCTCAGGGGGGGGGGCGGTCATCCGCTCCCCCCCCCGTCGGTACTAAGTTGGCGCAGACCCCCGTCGGTGCGCGGGTTAACTCCTGTTCAGATTGAAAAACGTGTAGATACGGCCACGCCGGTCTATGGTCCCTCGGGCCCGTCTGCGGTCAGCTGTCGACTTACGGTCGATCACGGCGATTATAGTGAATAAAGTCACCGTCTCGGTCCGCTGGGCGCCGCTCCGGACCTGCTGTGGTCCGGTCTGTGGTCCGGTCTGTGGTCCGGTCCTGTTTGTGGTCCGGCTGTGGTCCGGTTGTGGTCCGGACTGTGGCCCGGTTGTGGTCCGGACTGTGCTCCGGCTGTGGTCCGGCTGTGGTTCGGTCTGTAGTCCGGTCCTGTCTGCGGTCCGGTCTGTGGTCCGGTCTGTGGTCCGGTCCTGTGCAGTGGTCCGGCTGTGGTCCTGTCTGTGGTCCGGCTGTGGTCCGGCTGTGGTCCGGATGTGGTCCGGATGTGGTCCTGTGCAATGGTCCGGTCTGTGGTCCGGTCCTGTCTGTGGTCCGGCTGTGGTCCGGATGTGGTCCGGTCTGTGGTCCTGTCTGTGGTCCTGTCTGTGGTCCGGTCTGTGGTCCGGCTGTGGTCCTCTCTGTGGTCCGGTCCTGTGCAGTGGTCCGGCTGTGGTCCGGTCTGTGGTCCGGTCTGTGATCTGGCTGTGGTCCGGCTGTGGTCCGGCAGTGGTCCGGCTGTGGTCCTGTATGTTGTCCGGCTGTGGTCTGGCTGTGGTCCGGCTGTGGTCCGGCTGTGGTCCGGTCCTGTCTGTGGTCCTATATGTGGTCCGGCTGTGGTCCGGCTGTGGTCCGGCTGTGGTCCGGTCCTGTCTGTGGTCCGGTGGTCCTGTGCAGTGGTCCGGCTGTGGTCCGGCGCCGGTCGCCCGGCCGGTGCCCTGATTGATCAGCTCCGACGTACCCGCTCCGGTCGGCTGGCGGCGAGGGCCGATCGGGCCGCGGCTGGACGCGCCTGTTCCGGCACAGACGGACGCCAGCTCACCCAGCCCCGACGGCAGCCACTGCGTATGTAGAGGGTAAGGACCTCACCTCGCTACTCCGGCCCTAACGGGAATGTCAAACACAAATAAGGATGCCCTTGGAGTGGCGGTACTCCGCTAAAATGAACATCGTCAACAAGGGACAAAATCAAAGGCAACAAAGCACAAATAAACGAGAAATATGCAATACGAAAGGGCGCAGAATTATGTTGATATGCCGGGATGTTGTAGACGCACGATTAAAGATATGACTCGTTGGCATTTGCTGAGTGCTTATCATTCAGGTCCCCCTATGGTCCAAATAAACCGTGATCTCGATTGGACAGGCAGTTTATAGAAACATAAAATCAAAATATATTCATATTGACAAGAGCTTGCTAAAAACTGCTCTCGTTTGTTTATAGCATCCGTAAACATTACCAGCAGCAGATAAAAGGTTCATATTTTTTTAGGTGGGCATTCAATACCTTGAAAAATAACTCGATTTAATGGTAACGTAAATACAAGCAACGACTTAGCTGCTATAATATAATAACTAAATACGACTATCTTAGTGACGGTATTATACCGGTACAGCTACCGAAATTCAGGGGCATCAGTTATAATCGGCTTTATTTTATGCACTTTTTCCTGAGGGATACCTATAACTAATTATGTTACATTGGATAGTCTGAGCTGCGCAAGGACCTTGCTGCTTAGGATAGACCGCAAGTTAGACCTAAGACGCGTATATAATTAGGTACATCATTACCTGTAGGTAATGATGTATACATAGCGGGCTCTATAATGGCTAATAGTTAAGGTACACGTTAAAAACGCACATAAATAGATAAGTAGATATATAGTTAATCGGTCATTAAAAATCAACTGTTGATTTTTCCCCCGAGACAGCAAACGATACGTCTGATGGGACACATATATCCAGCATCTATGCTATATATAGCGGCTCTGGGCATGCGTAAGTGCAGCATATGTACATACGATTAGATATCTGTAAGAATCTTGCGATTAGACACACCCGACATAGCTTCGCCGGAGCCCGGTCGTTTTATCCGACTCACTCTACTCTGGTCTCTGTCTCTCGGGAGAATGGTGCTGCTCGTACCTTGCCGACACGGCAGAAGACCCCACGCTATTCCTACTGCCATCACCGATCATGGTGTCCCCTGGCCAGCACCGACGGACCATTTTGATCGTCACTGTCCCATTATGGACCATTGATCGTCCCCTGTCCCATCACGGACAAGAGTGACAATCCCCTGCCCCTGTTACCGTCCGCACGTGACCGTCCTCCGGAGCAGACCGCGCACGGACAGATCGGCCAGCGCCTGCAGAGGCGAGCTGACGGCCGCCGAGAGCTGCACGGTCAGCAGGTAGGCGGAGACCAGGTGCTGGGCGCTGGCCGGCCAGCAGACCAGCGCCAGCACCACCGCCGCCGGCAGCCCGTACGTCAGCGTCGTCAGCAGGCAGAGCAGCGCTCCCTGGCGGTCGGCGCCGGCCGGCCGGAGGGGCGCCGGGCGGCCCAGCAGAGGCCGCCGCCGCCGCACCGGCCGCGGTGTCGGCGTCACCGGCCACGAGCGCGGCGACAGGAGCGCCTCGCGCGCGCAGCGCCGGTCGCGCGCCCGCCGGGACCGCTGGCGGCGCTGTTTCAGCGGGCTGGGCGCGCCCGACGGCGGTGTCGAGTGGTCGCCCAGGTAGCCGTCGTGGGCGGCGGACGGCGGCGGCAGCAGCGAGCCGGCGCTCAGCTCGGAGACGGTGGTCGGCCGCCGGCTGAGGTCCGGCACCGACAGGCACACGGGCGCCGAGACCGGCTCGGCGCTGAGCGCGCCCGGCGACAGCGGCACGCCGGCCGCGTCTCCGTTACTGATGGGGAATGTGTCGGAGCGGTGCATCCTGCCTACCGGCGCGCCGTTCCCGGGCTCGGGGGAACCCGCACCCGGCTCGTCGGTGGGGCCCGCGCCCGGCTCGTCGGTGGGGTCCGCTCCGTCTGCGGTGGGGAGCTGTGTGCGGTAGCGGCGCGTCGGCTCTCCGTCGGCGTCCGGAGACAGCTCCGGCACCTGGTTCGGCAGGTCTGGCCCATCAGAGGCCGGTATGCTCAACCCCCGACCGTCCAGTTCAGAGCGCTCCACGTCCACACTCCAGCGCACGGCGGAGGCGGCCGAGTGCTGCCCCCTGGTGGCGTCCTCCGGAAACGCCTGCTTCACAGTCTGTCCGTCAGATGGCTCTGCGGGCGGTAGGACGGCAACGGCCGGCGGCCAGCGGGAGACGGGCTCGCCGGTCGGCTCCACCCAGCGGCTGGAGAGTCGGGCCCTCAGACCGGCGGCCAGCACGCTGGCCAGCCCAGCATCATAACAGGTGAGCAGCAGCGGCGACAGCGCCGCCAGCAGCGGCACCGGCGGCAGCGAGCGCAGCCCCTCGGTGGCCACCACCACCAGCAGGCCAGCGCCGGCCAGCAGCCAGGTGGCGGCCAGCGCGCCCACCAGCGGCCGCTGGTACCAGCGCCGCGCCGCCGACAGCAGCACGGCGCCGGCCAGCGCCGGACTGGCGTGCGCCAGAGCGGCGGTGGCCAGCGCGGCGGCCGGCGCGGCGCCGAGCAGCAGCGGCGCCGCGGCCAGCGAGCAGACCAGCGCGGCGGCCGTCTGGCTGAGGTGGGCCGACAGGCACGGCTGGCCGCGCCGGCCGTGGCGCACGATCGACGCCAGTACCAGGCCGTTGGAAACGATGGAAACCAGCACGGCGAGCGCCAGCGGCACCAGCAGCGGGGCCGGCAGCGGCAGCGGGGACCGACCGGCCGGCGCCGCCACACCCGGCAGGCCCCAGAAGTCCGTACCGGAGCTCGAGTTAAAGACGAGCCTGGAGTCGTTCAGTAGCTGGGGAGAAGTGTTGCTTGCGGGCACGAAATACCAGAGGTCGTCCCCGCCAGACTCGGTCAGGAGGCTGTGTCCGGTGCCAGAGACGCTCTCGGTGGGAATCAGTTCCGAGAGAAGACCATCACCGACCGGTCCCCCGGTCAGGGAGTAACCACCCGTCGGGAGGGGCCCGGAGGTCGGCCGCGGCCCCGCCGGCGCCGGCGGCTCAGAGGGCAGACGGTGGCCGGCGGTCACAGTCTGCTCCGTGGTCAGCCGAAGGTCAGAGGCCGGGTGGCGCTCGAGGAGCTCGGTGTCCGGCGCACGAGCGGTGCTCGTACCGGAGCCGGGCCATCGCCACCACTCGTGCAGGTTACCGCCCTCGCTCGCACTGGGGGTGGTGCTCAGGGGGTCCATGACGCCACTGTGCCGGCAGGGCGGGCTCACGGTACGTCACGGCGTCAATGTCACGTCACGGCGTCACCTGTCACCGGCGCGGTTTGCGCTCAGCACGGCCGGGCCCGTGTCCGCCCGCCGCGGCGCGGCGGCTCGGTCCCCACACTGGCGCTCCGTGTCGATCATAGCGTGCCTGACGGCGCCGAGGCTGCGCCGTCACAGCGCAGTCCCTACCGAGACACGGATCGAGATCGGTCGCCATGACAACGGCCAGATGATACATGACACGGCGTGTGCGGGAGATGGTGCGTAGGATACGGCCTTGCCTAGGGGGAGGGGGCGGCACCGGCTGGCACTGGGCTTTGGTATCCAGTCACGCCGTAAGGTCTCTCAGGCAATGTGCTACGGTCGTCGACCGGCAGCCTGCATGGGCACTCCTATGGGGCTGCTAGATAGTTAGGTAGGTACCTAAATACGCGCCTAACGAAATGGTCTATAGATTCCTCACATTTTGGAATGCATTGAAACTCGCTCGTTGGTGGTATATGACAGATTAGACCAAAATTTTACCTACTGTGCACCGTTTTGTAAGTTTTCTGCCGTGCTATTTGCTTTTCAAATACTGCAAGTTTGCACATTTTAAATACGTGCACACTTGTTTTCAGGATATTTGAAATTAGTGGTCGTGATTTTCTGATTGTGTACCGCTATCGAATCATTCGCGTCAGCACTGTCGACAATATTTTTCATACTAGATTAAGAATGATATTGCAAATATAGTAGGAAAAAGTGGGTGAATTTGGTTGTTTTCTAGGATATTGGCAGGATTTCGACTAGCTTCTCTAGTTTTTAGCTAGCTTCTACCAAGCCAACGCGAGTGGCAAATCAATGCATCGCGCCGGTGTAGGGGGAGGGACTCGGACTCACTGGGACTCGCTTGTGCTCGCTTGGATGCCGGTGTACCGCGGTGGATAGGCGGTACGCTACGATTTTGTTGTGAATTTGTGATGGTCCCTAATTGCGGGAGCCTCAGAAATACTTCACTTGGTGTTTTTTGGCTGGATTAAGTTGTACGTGTCTATTCTTCAGGTGTTTTATTGCTCGGACAGCTTTGGATTGCAGCCATGAATTATTGCTTGATTGAGGTCGGCGTTTTATATCTACTGCTTCTTCTTCCGGCCATCTCTCATGGAGGACCTAGTCTTAAGGTTATGTATGCAGTTAATTGTGGAGGAGAAGCACATACAGATTCGAATGGATTTACGTACAAGAGGGACCCACTGATGGGCAAGATAGGAACTGCGTCAGATTACGGAAAACAGCTTGATATCCAAAGAGCACCCTTGCTGGACAAGCCTCTGTATCAAACTGAAAGGTACCATCATAGCACATTTGGGTATGATATTCCGGTTGTGGAAGATGGGGACTACGTCCTAATTTTGAAGTTCAGCGAGGTCTACTTTGATGCTCCAAACATGAAGGTAAGCAAAATGATCATAGCATAGTTGATTTAGAGGTCCTTAGAGCAAAGGGCAGGTTACATACTTTTATTTGTAACTTAACTTATACAATTTTATCTGCGCAAAGAGCTAGCTCAATCAGGCAAGCGCTCAGGGCTCCACCCCTGCCCCTCCGGGGCTCCCCTCCCCCACCATACCTAAGGTGCAGTGTAAATGCCACTGTGGAGCTAGTGTGTTAAGTAGTTAATCTTGAAGGCAATAAATGCAATATATCTGACCTTTTTGGCAAAAGTTCAGTTTTATCAGTCACCAGGCATTCTTGATGCTTTCTATCTCAGAAGTGTTTATTTTTGTATGCAGCTGTCATTCTACCATGCTGGGTCTTAGGCAAATCATAGGAGCACTGTGATTTGGAGGAAAAATATTTTCTTATAAATTAAGTTCAAATGTTTGAATGGACGGATTGACAGAGCCGGAGCCTACGCTACTCAGAGCTTATTGCGTAGACCCCGACCCCTACCGTCCGATCGCGCAATTTTGGGTAATGGGAGGATTTAGATGCCAAAGTTTAACGTGCCCTTCAAAGCCGGACACGGCCTGTCCCACTCTACTGACTTTAACTGGCTGCGGCTGCTCCCACCAACCGCAGACCATCCCCGTCAGGAGTCTCAAATAACGAGCGCCAGAGGACTGGAAGTTGGAACCCGGGCTCTCATCACCGGGAGTCCAGCGCTCTACCAACTGAGCAACGGGACAGGCTGTTTGATGTTTGATCTGTTGCTTGAGGTTGCATGCACTTAAAAGTATTTATAAAGGGAGTGAAGAAAAGAATTATGCATAAAAGATATTTATGCTATGTGCACAGATAACAGTAGTACTGGATTGGAAACAGAATATTGGCAGTTGCAGTAAGAGGCCGAATGTTTTTATGCGACGGCGCCAAAATGAGATTCTCGCGTGCTGCTGGGTGGATAATTTGTGTGTTGTGTATTGCAAGAAATCGTCTTTTTTGCGTTTTGTCGTTTAAGTTTAAAATCGAAGCTACCAAAATTACTTTCATTTGCTTGAAAATTAAAGTATTTCACTTTTAATTTGATCATTTAGAGGGCACAATGCGTGGTGTTTTCTTTTGAAAAAATTGTGGTGCAAAGCCTTACATACGTATAGGTACATCAACAATGGAGGAGGGGAATGAGCGGTAAAAACCTGCCGTTCTGGCTACAACCCAACGAACCAAGAGGAACAAAAGATTAGAACAGGAGATGTCTCACATGCCACCTATTCGCTTTTCTCACCGAAACATCTCTACGGGCTCAGTGGGTTGGCGCCATGGGTCACCGTGACCGGGCTGAGTGGGATCAGGACTATTCCGCTGTATGTGAGCTGCATTTCAGAAAGGAAGATTTCGAAGAAGATCGGTCATTTCGCACCGGCATGCAGAGACAGCGCCGTCGGCTCAAGAGCGGCGCAGCCCTGTCAGTATTGACCAGCGTGGATTACGCGATGCCCCCTGTGCACGAGCGGCCAGCGAAACGCCATGGCATCCGCACGCCACTCACACCAGAAGCAGGTTATGAAGGGCCAGACCGATGCGTTTTTCACGAATGACAATATCAGCTATCAGGTGGCAACTACAACTGGTCGAGTGTCCGACAGTTCCTGGAGAATGAGGCGGTACTCCGGGTCACCAGGAACCAGCTGCTGGTCTGCGATCAACCAAGAAGTGACGCAGAAGTGACGAAGATAGTCGTAAACCGAGATGTCGAACTGACCGGAAGTCGTTTACAATGATAGCCACGACGACCTTAGGAGCCTCCTTCCAGAGATGTATGCGACGGTTTTCAATCTATTTGCTGGAAAGTGTGGAAACATGGTAACTGATAAGTGAGACAGACACTCAAGACCAGGGCTGCGGAGTCGATGGATTTTCGGCGACTCCGACTCCGACTCTGACTCCGGCTTTCAAAAACCAGCTCCGACTCCGACTCCGGGCAGAATTGTCGACTCCGACCGACTCCAACTCCCGACTCCGACTCCGCAGACCCAGCAGGGCTGCGGAGTCGACAGATTTTCGGTGACTCCGACTCCGACTCCGGCTCGGGTTTCTAAAATCGACTCCGACTCCGACTCCGACTCCGGTCACAACTGTCGACTCCGACCGACTCCGACTCCGACTCCGACTCCGCAGCCCTGCTCAAGACAGTGCTGTCCATCGAAAGTCAGGAAGCAGACACCCCAGCCACTGGTGCAACCCGATCGAGGACCGACAAGAGGCCAAAGCTCAGCAGGGTTAAGAAGATGTAAGGCGGGGAAGTAAGGTCGCTGATGAAATTGGGAGGGCAGGCGAAGCGAAGTGACACTTGAAGGGGTGTTTTGTGACGTTGGTTTGAATCGTGACGTTTGGATGGTTCGTTGTGACAGGACTGGTGTCGATTAGCATGTAAATAAAGAGATCAAACTCCCATGTATGTACAAGTACTTTTTGTGGATGAGAGTGAGAAATCATTATAATCAAATCAGTGGCATACGTTCCCTCACCACGGTGAGGAAAGTGTAACCAGCAACGTTTAGTAAAATAAGTTGCCATTATGCAAAAATGCAGCAATAAACACGAGCACGGCTAGTCGATTGCTTCTTTATAAGTTTCATTCACATAAACCAATATTTTTGTTGCCTGTGAGAGGAGATATCGAAATATGGGCACGAAATATTCGGTTCTGTTTTCGGCCTCTTACTGCAGCCACCGGAATCCTGTTTCCAATCCAGTACTACTGTTATCTGTGCTATGTGGTTTTGCCAGGTGGGGCCAAGATGGAAACCCAGGATGCAGTTGGAGGGCTGATAGGGTTATCAACATTAATGTCCTTTGTCTATTTTTGGTGTTGACATTGCCGATTGTGTTGCTTTTTCTGTTGCCTTGACAGGTGTTTGATGTGGTTCTGAATGGTGACCACACTGTGGTGCAAGATCTGGACATATACCAGCGCGTGGGGCGCGGCGTCGCTCACGACGAGGTGGTGCCTCTGTCCATACAGAGCGGTCGCCTCAGCTACCGCGGCGACGAGTCAGACATCCAGGGCGGCAAGATCCGCGTCGAGTTCATCAAGGTATGTCGGCAGTTCACGGAGAAACGGCTGCCGCGGCTGACCGAGCGTTCGCCTCCTGCATCCTGCCCGTATTCCAGACAGCAGAAGTGAATATGTGGTTTTTGATCCACAAAATGCTTAAATAACTCTTCATGAGCTCGTCACACCTATTGTGCCAGTTTTTTATTGATGCCTAAATCTGTCCCAAAAGTCAACCTGTAATTGTAAAGTCCAGGTTACACTATGCGTGACCATTCAGGAAAGTGCGCGCATGTTCTGTAGATCCGTGCTTGCGGATTTCCTTGATATCAGTTTCTGCAGTTTTCCAGAAATAACTATCGTATGCTGTCGTCAGCATGACAACTAGCGAGCACTTTTGTCAATAAATATACAGTTTTGCTACCTAATTGTTATTCTATTTACTTCATAAAGTATTTATTTCACACTATGCACCATCAAGTGCATCAACAACTGTCTCATATCATGCAATCATGCAGATTCTGCAAAAAAAAAGTTCAGCTTCTTGAACTTTATATCGGTACGGACAATCCTGACTGTCTTGACTATACGGCATTCCCTGGACTGAACAGCACACATCCGTAATTTCCTTGACTGAATGTGCGTGACCTGTAGTACAGCCCATTGTAGCCAACCCCGTGTATTTCCTAACGGCTGATGTTGATCTGATTTCCCGTGAAACCCGACAAAACATGGTCACGCGCGTAATTTCGTGGAGGATCACGCGTAGTGTCAAGATTACTTTACTAATAGCGTAGTGTAGCTTGGGCCATGATGGATAAGAGATTTCCTTCATCCATGCTGGGGCTTTGCATGTGCATTGTAGACACAGGGTGTGAGCGAATGTGAGCGCATCTTATCCGGTTTCCGATTCTTCGGCTTCCTCCGCTATGACCCAACACGCGGGGTTGCCCGTTTCGTGCTTGGTGGAATGATGTAGTTGCGTTTCCGACCGGGCTCTCCCTATATGTTTTGAGCCAATGATCTCAAACTCGAAACGAGTTTATATGGTGTTGCGTCCATCCTCGTCTCTTTCAGATATTAACCCTGGCTCATGAGAGAATCGAAGCTTTCCATTTTATTAGCTTATCGAGGTGTCCACACATGACAGTGCCCGCACACGGCCGCTGCCGTCCTATCGCTTCGCTCAGAATCAAGGTTCCTCTCAAAGTCCACTGCAACGATGATCCATGTTAGCACACCCTTTACAATATGTAAACAGCTATATCAAAGGAATATTGACTAGCGTCTGGTTTCCTATCTACGGTCAACAACTCAAATACCATTGGCAGACCCAGCAGTTGTGAAAAAGGGGAGCCGCAAATGCTGTCCATTTTTTTTTTTCTTCAAATATTATCCATGTTTTCGCCCCCTCCTTTGAATTGTGTGAAAAAGGGGCAGTAACCTTCAAGCACGCACAATCAACATCACTAGCTAGGCTTCTCACTACGTCCACCAAGATTATTACAGAACTTTTATTTGTTCCCACAATGGCATGTATGATGCTGACTTCATTTAGTTGAAGCGCACTTGTTTGTTTGTTTTCAGGAGGTAGGTAGCTTTCCAACAATGACTGATCTGGGGTTTGGTGCCAGCACCCCGGCTTTTGATCAGCGGCATCCGCTGTGTGGATCGTGACGGGTCTGCCAATGCTTCCCAACTTCAGATCATGTTGTCTTGTATATGGCATAGTGGAGAAAGCACCTGTCTCACTCACATATCACTCGGTGGCCGTGAGGCTGTGACTGGAACAGCAGGTGCACATTCCACGCAACTGTACGCCTTTGCAGCCCGCATCGAGGAAACGGCGGTGCTTTTTATCGTACATTTGGCGTCAGTTTGACAGACGGAGCACATGCCGGTGCGAATGACCTTTTCATGTGTTAATCAGGGCGTCACAGTGGCGCTGCACATACACCCTACGGCGGAGCTGCCGGCTGTCAAACGATATGGCCTTTGTTGCCCAGAGTTTGGCTCGTTTTTATAGCCCTAACTACTTGGTACGCAATTACAGCGAGATCAGATGTTTCCTGTTGCGCCTCAGCCCTGTCTCGCGTAGAAAGAACACCGTAAAATTTTATCATGTGTTTTTCAATTTCTCGACCTGTCAAGTTGCCTAGACAAGTTTTTAAATAAGTACATACCTTTTTTGGCTTTCTTTGGAGTGGAACGTTGCTGATATGGCAGAAAGATTGTCTGACTCCAGTCTCTTTTTTCAGGGATATCGAGACAATCCGAAGGTGAATGCCATTCTTCTTCTGAAAGGAAATTTGGAAGGTTAGTTTTTTTGTCAGTTTGATGAATATGGCCCATTCTGGCATGCTTGAAATTTAACTATGCGTGTTTTCATACGTGTTTGTTGTTTACAGCTAACTCCTGTATAGCATTGTGCTATCCGGTGCTATCGCTCGGCACTTAGGGACGTTTTCGGTTAGGCTGGCCATGTATTGCATAGCTAGAAGCCTTTCTTTTTTACTAGTTTGCACTTTTAGTAGTGGTATGCTTCTTCTTTTGACCATTTCGGTCATGCTAGATTACAATCAACTGAATTTGGAATCGAGGACGCAAGCTATGATTTTTTGGTCCTTTTGAAGTGCTTTTTATTAGAGTTTACACTGCTTCTGGCTATGCTTGACGTTTGGCAGAAACCTATCGAGATATCGAGCAGGCAGTACACAACAAAGATGCCAAACATCCTAAATGGTGGCTTGTCTGGTCACTTGTCTTGATCTGGCCTATTGGCTGATTGGCCGCTGTGCGTGTATTCAGTTCCATGTGTGACCTGTCCGTGTCCGCCGCCCCCCAGATGTGCCGCTGCTGCCGCCGCTGCCGGACCTGGCGTCGGCGCAGCCTCCCGAAGAGGAGGCCGCCGCCGCCGAGGACCCGGCGCCGCCGCGCCCTTCCAAGGCGTCCAGCCGACCCAGCGGGCCGCGCACGCCCGACCCCTACTCGAGCGACGAGACGTCCACCATGCTGCCGCTGTTCGTCGCCATCGGCGCCTTCATCCCGGTGCTGCTGTGCCTATGCAAACTGTGAGCGCCGCTCGGGGAAGCCCGACGCCCGTCCGTGCACCGTACCCGGTCACCGGGTGCTGGCTGTGTGCCGGCAGAGCTGCTGCATTTTGCACCCGGTGGACGCCCGGCCGACTGCCAGTGCCCGTACCCGTCCGCGCTGACAGGTTGCCAGCCGAGAGCCAAGCTGCCGTGTCCGAGCCATGGCGTCCCGTCGTGTCTGACGTGGCGAGGAACCCGCCGGCTCCTCTCCAGTGCTGAATCGAGTTGTGATGTTGCCGTTCTGGCGCGTGCTGTCGTGCGGACGTCGCCCTCGGATGGACCGCCTGGCAGCGCTGTGGCTGCCGGCGGCAGTGTGTCTGTCGCTGCCATTGCGGCGTCCCATGTGTGAATTTCTCTACACTTGTGTGTGCTATTGCTCGGTTCGAGTCCCCGTGGGTGCGGGATGTGTTGCTTCCCAAGTGTGGTCCCGATAGAACAAATTGCGACGCGTCCCGCCATGGGCCGGCATGCGAGAACACTGCCCGCTTTCTTGACGCCGGTGCTTCCGTTGGCGGGCGATGCTTTCGGGAGTTTGGCAACTCTACCCATGATTTGTCATATTCATTTAGTTGTCGGTATGAGTGTGCGGTATGGGGTGGCTGGGGTGGCACTGCAGGGTGTTGGCGAAAGGCGGGTGCAGCTTTAGGTCAAGCTCAAAAGGTTGGTACCGGGGTCAGCGTTTGGCAACGTTACGGCTTGATCTCGTGTGATTTGATTGTGATCATATTTTGTTTGTTTGTTCCCGCACTTAATTGTCCTTCCAGATACACGGTTCTGTCAATGAGCTATGGCCTAATGACTGATGAGTTGATGACCATTGGCCACCCGAGCTTCAGAATGGTTGCTAATACCTCTTCCGTCGCCCATGACTTAGCGAATTCTTATATCTATTACCTGACGCCACATTCTACCTCGCTATTATTCTGCTAGTGCTGCCCCGTTTTTTTTTTTGTGATTTCAACCCAGTAGCCGTCTAAGTCTGGACCACTATTCATTTCTGGCTAGTCTCTTAACAGAGTTTTGCCTTCGTGAAGTGATGTTCAATGTTCATATCTTTCTTTTTTGTTGGAAGCAAGCTATTTCAGCCTGAAAAGACCGTTGCAGGGCTACTGGATGATAGGATAGGACGTAGACATTGAGCCGTGGGGGCCGGGGGGCACAGACAGCCGCGGAGGCGAGACCGTCCCGATGGAACCGGATTCCCCCGTTCGGACAGTCCGCCTGCCTCCCAAACGGTCCAGCCCGGAAAGGGAGCGTGAAGGGAGATTCGGATGGGGAGGGCGGTTGTACATCATTTCCAGAAAATAGCCCCATTGATACTTGAGCATGTAATTGCTCGTCCAGATAAGTGTGGAGAGTCGAGCACGATAGCCGACGCCCGGCAGTAATGCTGGACCGACTGCGCGGTATATAGGGCTTGGACTGTGCTGTGTTCCAGCTTCGGGTAAACTGTCGGGTCTTTAAATAGAGCTGTGAAAATAACTTTATTCATAGAAGCAGTAAGACAAGCATTGTTTGCTTGGACTAGTTTCATTTATTCATTTTATATTTTTCATCACACATTTACTTCGCAATAGCGTGATTTATGTCTAGTATTTCTATGCTCCCCTCTCTTTGAAGTCTACATCCGCCTCTAATCAATCGGCCATTTTCTGCGCTGCCTTCGCCGACGCCGGTGGGGTTCTCGGCGTCTTTCATTTTATCTGCGTTTTTGCTGTAATTTGCTGTCTAACGCGAAGAATTACATCTAGCAACATGCCTGTAAGTATATATGTACTTTTTATGGTCTTTTGGCCTTAAGGTCTCTTTATATTGACTTTTATTTCCCCCTTTAAGATTCCATTTGGATTCCAGCTCTTTGTCGGGACCAGTTGCGTGTTATTCGTGCTAAGCGCATTTATTTTCAGTAAATGTCACTCAACGAATATTTGTAGCAGTGAAATTTTGAATTTCTAAGTGATGTGGGTTGCTTTGTGAATTCAGGGATGGCGAAACGGGCTTTGAGGGTGCTCAAGTGCCCACTCGCCTCACTTTTAACCCTATTCCTGGCAGGGGGGCCTCAGGAGCCCCCCCCCCCCTGAGGTTTTTTGGTTATTTCTCCCAAACGCGTTGAGCTAGGAAGCTCAAATTTTCTGACTTTTCCTAAAAGGCTTCTACGCAACATGTCTGAAAATTTTGAGTTGATCTGACCTCAGGTCAGGTCACCAGAGGCGGTTTGGTGACCCTACCTCAGAAAAGTTTGCAATCACGCCAGAGCTAGAGTTTTTGACCGATCAATTTCTTCTCTTCAGGCTTTAGTTATGGTACCAGTAGTTGCAATTTGTATATCTCGGAATTTTGATATCGGTGACCTAAGGTCAGGTCAGTTTCGCGACCTCCCCATTATAAGTCAATGGGGGAAAAATCAACTCCCTGTTTTTACCACTAAAACGGGTCGGAATGGCCCCATATACCATACATGACTTCATATACGATCAACCTTCACTACCTTGAGGTCTGTTTTGCTGTTGGGCAGCTGTGAGGTCATGTGACGTCATCAAAGGTCACCAAAGGTTTTTGGCCAATAACTCCATACAGGAACAAGATAGACGCGTGGATGGTCTCATTGTGTTCAGCTCGTCAAGACGCATCGAATGATATACATGATGACCTCGAGGTCACGTGACCTGAGGTCAACCTTTGACCTTGACCTTTCGAGGTCAACATATATATCATTCGATGCGGATTGACGAGAGGATCACGATGATGCCCTTAGTTTGTTCCTATCTTGACTAATTCGAAAGTTATTCGAGAAAAACTCTCCATATCTAGCGCCGCCATTTTGACTTTTTCGACCCCTGTGACGTCATCTTTGACCTGACCCTGACCTGAAAATGACCTTAGTAAAAATTGTAGATCTTGACCGTACGTATCCGATGCCGTTTACCGTTTGTCGCTGCGATGTGTAGTTTTTGAGATCTGAAGGGGGGCCGAATCGCCCCCCCCCCCCAGTTTCTTGTCCCGGCGGAGCCCGCCAGGAATAGGGTTAAAGGCTCCCATTGATATTGAAAAGTTCATGTAGAACAATGCTCCTAAATTTGGTGAATATCTTCTTGTAAAAGTGATACACAGTCATGTAGGCATCAAAGCTCCTGGGGAAACTTTGGGTATTATTATAGCTGGTGTCTCACATGCTGTCACCGTTCGTGAAAAGTTGCTAGACTCTCCAGTTTTTGAGATATTTCCTCAAATTTCGCTATTAAGATCTGTTAAGTGTTCTACAAAACAAAAACATAACCTAACCTGACCTAGCCTTACCTACAACCTAAACCTACAAACCTACAGCCTAAAGAGAAATTTGTGTAAATATCTCGAGAAATGAATAGTCTAGACTTTTCATAAATGGGTAGCAGCATGTGAGATGCCTGCTATAAAAAATGCCAAACTTTGTAGGAATTTTATGGCATTTAAGGAACACACTGAAAACTGACAAGCATCCCTTGACATTTCATTTTCAAAATGCACCACAACTTTCAGTGTCTGTCATCAGTTGGGGAAACTACAAGGAGCCAAACAAAAATTGGATCAGCTAATCAGCGGCTGGAGTGGGCGGAGCGATGACCATATACCTATGGTCATAAAATCAGACTTCATCCTTTCAATGAATCCTGGCATTCAAATGAAAAAATTTGTTTATGGTTTTTCTAATTGTGGTTAAGTTATTATTTTTAAATTAAATATCTGGTTATTGTAATTAAATTAAATCTTTTAACAATTTTCTTTCATAAAACCAATCCATTTATTGAATGGCCAGCTGATTTTGACGCCCAGAACCTACAGAAATGCTGTTTTCCTATCGCCATTTTCGAGTCAATTCGCCGAATTTAATCAAATCATGCTAATTCCTAGTGAAAAATGGAAGCCTTTTCTCTCCAATAAGTGGACGCGATACCGCAAGTACTGGCTTGTTATACCGTTTTTCACCCTTAGTAGTGGGGGCTGCATTTATGCCCATATATGGTCATCAAGTCCATTTATTGACCAATCAATTTTTTATATTCACCTCGTAGTTTCCCCAACTGTCATAGCTGCACCGAGTGACTGATCGCTTTGGAAATTTCAGAGAATGATAAGAGCAGCGGCATGTACAAAATGTACATCTCAGAATTTTGACAATGGTGACCTAAGGTCAGGTCAATATTGTAGGTCAATGGGAGAAAATCGAAAGGTGCCTCTTTTGGATGAACATCATTCTTAACACCCAAACTATGAATTTCAAGTAACTATGAAACATTGAACATGAAAATGGCACCCGTGACCTCTGTTGATGCCCCTGAGGTCATCCTAGGTCACAAATAAGTTAAAATTTAAATGTCAAGTTATAGGTAGTTCATTTGATGCGTCTTGACAAGAGGAACATGATACTGGTACAAGTAGGCTCGTGCAAGGCTGTCAGCAGTTCTTGTCCCCTGTGGACAAAACTGCAGGCACAAATCTGAGAGAAATACTCAGGAAGAGCATGAATAGAGCTAGCAAATTCGCTTATCCGGGGTGCTGAAGTTCTTTAAGTTTCTGAATTATGCGTTGGTTTGTTGTAAATTGTCGACATTCGACCCAAAAATGAAAAAAGTGAAATGAAATTTGAAGTGAAAAATCAAAAATCAAGTGAATTTTAGCCTACAATGACCTAGTCTGGTGACCTGACCTTTGACCTGACCAAAAAGGAGCAAAGTAAGTTAGTCATTGTTTTTACATGCTTTCAAATGCCACCTTCTCCATATCCCTGTGGGGTCGAGGAGCCAAGTTAGAGGGACGGGGTGTTCAACCCCCCCCCCCCCCCCCAGCAGGGCGTGAAAATCCGGGACCCCGGGCGGGGCGCAGGGCCTTACAATAGTTCAGCTAAAAAAGGTAAAGTGATTACCTACATAGCTTGATTTAAAAGCTTGATTTAAAAAAGGCTACTTAACCCTCGCCCGTATTGGTGTTTTTCCAGCCGCGAACGTATAAGGGGGGGTCCGTTGGACCCCCCCCCTTGCCGTTTCGCCACAGATCGAACTAGAGCTTCGCGGAAAAAACGAGCGTGTTGCCCGTGACGAGAGGAAGCCGATGATACCTAATTTTTAGGTCCTAGGTCATTGGTTGACTTTGCAGGTCAGGTCAATGACCCAAAAGTCGGAAAATCGGGACCTGTTAGAACGTCGTCAAGTGTGGCTGCTATGGGGTTTTTCGGGGCGCTGATCACGAATATCATGTTAGTTTTGATCACAGATGATGTCTTCATGCATTTAGTCCGGGTCGGGTCAGGTCAGGTCAACCAGTAACCTGCCGGGTATTCCTACTACGCATTTCAGACCCTCTGGAACAGTCCTTTTTGGCCCTTTCTCGTTACCTATACGCTTGATTTCAACCAAACTTTGACACAATGTGTTTCAAGGGCCTATCTAATTTTTACTAATATGGTCTTTTAACAAAATGTCAAAATGAAAGGCACTTGTTGTTGACTTGTAATGGTAAAAATTGATCGGAAAACTCTGCACCGTGGTAGAGGCTAGCATGGCGTTGCAGCGTCAGCTGTGGCGCCGCAGCTAAGCTCCGCCCACTGTGCCGCGACACCGGGACCGGTCATTCGCCGCTCGGGGTCAGAGCGGTGCGGAGGTCTGACGGACTGGAACGAGACACACGCTAAGGCAGGCATCATTGCGTGAATATTGTAAATGTCGTATCTCGCGCGGAGAGAATAATCAATAAGGATGAAGAATTCAATGCAGATCGCGACGGTGTATGTATAAAACAATAAGCACTCCTAG